TGAATAGAAAATTCAGAAGAACAGCATTTATCTGAAATAGAAATCTTTTGTAACCATTATAAATGTCTTTAATTTATCATCACTTTTGATCAATTTAAAGCATCCTTGCTAAATAAAAGTATTAATTTCTATAATTACCCCCACCCGCATTTATTTCAGATAAATGCTGATCTTTGGATCTTTCTATTTATCAAAGAATCTTGGAAAAAAAAATGTACTCAACTGTTTTAAATATTAATAATCATTACTCCAGTCTAGTGTCACATGATCCTTCAGAAATCATTCTAATATGCTGATTTGCTGCTCAAGAAACATTTCTTATAATCAATGTTGAAAACAGTTGTGCTGATTCATATTTTTGTGGATTTGTTTTTTTCAGGATTCTTTGATGAATAGAAACGTCAAAAACAACTTAATGCATTATTGCTTTTGAACTTTTTTATTTATTGTGCATTTATTGAACTTTATTTATTTATAGTATACCACTAAAGTAGACCTATATTTTTAACAATATTCACACTTACTTGCTCCTGTATGATCAAAATGCCAAAGCTAAAAATAAATTTGCAACGATTTATTACACAACATAAATCGGCATAATCTGTGGGACACCCATTTACTTACAGTATCTTCCAAATGCTAATTTAAAAACTGCAATTTATGCTCATGACAACGTATTCATAAAGAAACTCACCTCAATCTAGCATATAAATGAAAATCATGCATACTGATCATATGTATTTTTTCATAACCTTACATGAATATCGGAACACAATGAATATTAGACACTGCAAGCTTCAGCTGAAATTAAGTGGCAGCAGTTATTAATGGTCAAGAATTCACACGTTTAAAAGGAAGTTCCCCTGAAACCAAAAAACCCTTCCAGAGGAAACAAGAGACCCGCCGCACGTCACTGCTAATAAACCCAGCGTGAGAAACTCAAACCGCTGTAGCAGACACGTCTAACCAGACCAAAGCCTCCCACAAAGCTATCTTTCAAAGTTCAGATGTGCAGTAACTGCTGCCAGCAGCCCAACACTGATGCTCTGAAGATGAAACACTGTTATCTGAGGCTGTAAACTCATGGTTACGTACCTTTCTTCTGATATCTGTGAATTGCGAGAAGAGCAGCGACAGATAGAAGGACAGCTCCAGTATGTATCGGCATAATCTGTGGGACACCCATTTACTTACAGTATCTTCCAAATGCTAATTTAAAAACTGCAATTTATGCTCATGACAACGTATTCATAAAGAAACTCACCTCAATCTAGCATATAAATGAAAATCATGCATACTGATCATATGTATTTTTTCATAACCTTACATGAATATCGGAACACAATGAATATTAGACACTGCAAGCTTCAGCTGAAATTAAGTGGCAGCAGTTATTAATGGTCAAGAATTCACACGTTTAAAAGGAAGTTCCCCTGAAACCAAAAAACCCTTCCAGAGGAAACAAGAGACCCGCCGCACGTCACTGCTAATAAACCCAGCGTGAGAAACTCAAACCGCTGTAGCAGACACGTCTAACCAGACCAAAGCCTCCCACAAAGCTATCTTTCAAAGTTCAGATGTGCAGTAACTGCTGCCAGCAGCCCAACACTGATGCTCTGAAGATGAAACACTGTTATCTGAGGCTGTAAACTCATGGTTACGTACCTTTCTTCTGATATCTGTGAATTGCGAGAAGAGCAGCGACAGATAGAAGGACAGCTCCAGTATGTAGTAGTAATGCAAATCCACGGTTAACGGCTATAAAAGTCAGACACAGTATAGTCAACACAACACAGAACCACGTATACAACAGCCCTAATGAGTACTTTGCGCAGGGATTCCCAAACGTTTGTGGCAGCTGAACCCCTCTGACCTAAAATGTAAGTTAAATGTATAAGTTTTAAGTTTATAAGAATTAAGGCATTTTAACTTTAAACTGTCACTTCTGGCCAAAATATGAGTCCATAATCCATAACAATGCTTCCTCTAGTGAAAAAGTCAGTCCTCTGTTGTTCTCTCACATCTAAATCTACCTACATATATGTTTAGATCTGACTTGAACTGTTTTGGCTCGTAAACTGTGCTTGATCTGCGCATATTTCTCTGCTGATTCAGACAAGATGACTTTTTCACTGGAGGAAGCAATATTGGAGTGATGTGGATTACTTGTGGATTATTGTAAATCACTCCAGTCCATCAGTTAACATCTGGTGAAGTGAAAAGCTGCGTGTTTGTAAGAAACAAATTCATCATTAAGACGTTTTAACTTCAAACTGTTGCTTAGCTAAAATACGAAATCTCTATCTATAATACGGCTTTCTCTGTCAGAATGAGTGTCCAAACAGCTGATAAAACATTTTTATCAGCTGTTTAGACTCTCATTCTGACGGCACCCATTCACTGCAGAGGATCCATTGGTGAGCAAGTGATGCAATGACACATTTCTCCAAATCTGTTCAAATGAAGAAACAAACTCATCTGCATCTTGAATAGCCTGAGGATGAGTACATTTTCATATTTTTGGGTGAACTATTCCTGGAATATTTTAATTTTGACAAAACATTTACATGTTCATGGTTCTCTGATGTCGGTTATTAATCACATGACATGCTGGTAAACTAATAAAGTAAAACTAAAAGTAATCTTTTATTGCATTTTTAATTTATTTGAGAAAAAATTAAATAACTTAAAATGAAATGTTTTATATATATATAAAAATATATATAATAATATATAAAGATATAATATAAATATAATTATTTATACTTTAATTAGATATTTTTATGATGTAATTATTAGCTTTTCATCAGCTCACAGACCCAATGCAGTTCTATGAACCCTAGTTTGGGAAACCCTGACTTTAAAAATGAAAAGGATATTGAAAATTGCATTAGAAATGTAATAATTTTATTATCTGATTCTGTTTGACTACAGTGTTCATGCATTGCCATGCAAAATAGTAACTTTCAAAAAGGATCTAAGTGTCAGAGAGGGTGAAATATAGCCATGAAAAACTAAACTATGACCGTTTGCCTCACTAATATTTGAGGTGGATCTCAGGGGGTGTTTACACGACACCGTTTTCAAAATGGGGAAAAAAATTATGCGTTTTGGCCGTTCATTTACACAACAGTATTTTGGGAGCATGAAAATGAAAACGTGTTTCAAAGTGCAAGTTTTTGAAAACTATACTGTAATCGTCTCTGTGTAAACTAACATGAATTTGTGAAAATGGTGATGTCCTGCGCATGCGTATTACATGTTCACGTAGTGTTTCTTTTTCTACATTGTGACATTGCCAACTTCTGGCCTGGCGTGCATAATACAGTTTTGTTTTTTTGCGGATCCGTGTGAATGCAGATCGTTTTGACAACGCTGACGTCTGTATCCAAAACTTTTCAAGAACGCAAAAGGAAAAACTTTTCCGTTTTTAGTACATTGTTGTCATGTAAACATACCCTCAGAGAGAAAGAGAGAGAGAGAGAGAGAGAGGAAAAAAAAAAAGTACATTTTCATATTTTTGGGTGAACTATTCCTGGAATATTTTAATTTTGACAAAACATTTACATGTTCATGGTTCTCTGATGTCGGTTATTAATCACATGACATGCTGGTAAACTAATAAAGTAAAACTAAAAGTAATCTTTTATTGCATTTTTAATTTATTTGAGAAAAAATTAAATAACTTAAAATGAAATGTTTTATATATATATAAAAATATATATAATAATATATAAAGATATAATATAAATATAATTATTTATACTTTAATTAGATATTTTTATGATGTAATTATTAGCTTTTCATCAGCTCACAGACCCAATGCAGTTCTATGAACCCTAGTTTGGGAAACCCTGACTTTAAAAATGAAAAGGATATTGAAAATTGCATTAGAAATGTAATAATTTTATTATCTGATTCTGTTTGACTACAGTGTTCATGCATTGCCATGCAAAATAGTAACTTTCAAAAAGGATCTAAGTGTCAGAGAGGGTGAAATATAGCCATGAAAAACTAAACTATGACCGTTTGCCTCACTAATATTTGAGGTGGATCTCAGGGGGTGTTTACACGACACCGTTTTCAAAATGGGGAAAAAAATTATGCGTTTTGGCCGTTCATTTACACAACAGTATTTTGGGAGCATGAAAATGAAAACGTGTTTCAAAGTGCAAGTTTTTGAAAACTATACTGTAATCGTCTCTGTGTAAACTAACATGAATTTGTGAAAATGGTGATGTCCTTCGCATGCGTATTACATTTTCACGTAGTGTTTCTTTTTCTACATTGTGACATTGCCAACTTCTGGCCTGGCGTGCATAATACAGTTTTGTTTTTTTGCGGATCCGTGTGAATGCAGATCGTTTTGACAACGCTGACGTCTGTATCCAAAACTTTTCAAGAACGCAAAAGGAAAAACTTTTCCGTTTTTAGTACATTGTTGTCATGTAAACATACCCTCAGAGAGAAAGAGAGAGAGAGAGAGAGAGAGGAAAAAAAAAAAGAGTACAATACAGTACAACCCTTTTAATAATTATTATTATTGATATAGCAGACAGTATAAATCTACCTGATAGGGGTAGTTGTACCAGCACTCTCGGGTGTTCCACAGCCACGGGCTCTTTAAAATCAAACACAGAGACACAAATGATCTCCAGAGCGTTTTAATAAAGACACAAGATAATGTCTTTCGAAAGAGCTTTTGAATTCAGCTACATCAAAGTACGAAAAAGACTGAAAATACAGTCCTTATCCTCTGTAGTGCTAGCTACATAATTGAAATGCTTTGAATTCACTTCTCCCCCTCCTCGATAAACCACATCATTATGTAGGAAAGTTAGTTGGCATCAAAGCCTGGTATTGTGATGATTTCCTGTGAGATCTGCTGTCGTGCTTTGAGAATACTGACATGTGATCCAATCCAGTGCAACTTTTGCTTAGTAGCAACTTCACAGCATCTTTCTCAGAGGCCACAGACAAGAATAAGATTTCCTGTGGACAGACGTCTGATGCTTTAGTGAAACTAAAGGTGTAACACCATTATATGTTCTTTAAATAACAAATAAGCTATGAATACTGTGCAAGAACTATGGTAAATTCTCATTAGGGCAAGTAGCATCAAGTGCTATAAAGTAGTGCTGGGCGGTATACCGGTTCATTTTTGTTATATGAATTTTTAAAATACCGCAATACCGGTGTATGTCGCTTAAACAACGTTCGGAACGCGACACTGTTTGAAAGGGGTCCCTTTTCACAGTTGCACTGTGGTGAGGGAACAGCTGTATGTGTTACTAAGCGTGAAAGTTCCGAAACTGAAGCTGTAGAACTAATAGAACGTGATGACACAGAAGAACTCATCCACAATATCCACATTGACCGCCACAAATATCCACCGCCCCCTGCCATCAGCTCCCGCGTCTCACACACACACGAGCGCGACTGTAGCATGAGATTTAGCAACTTTCAAACCCTTTTAGCTGCTTTTTTCCATAGAATATTCATACTGACAAACCTAATTTCCTCTCTCAATCAGTAGAAAATATGGTTAACACCCGGTCATGCATGAAAAAAAAAATACCGTCATGTACCGTGGAACCGGTATAATTTTGAAAAACACCGTGATATTAATTTTTGGTCATACCGCCCAGCACTACTATAAAGTCTTTAAAGTATCCGTGAATTTTATGACCAACTCTCCGTTTACCTCCTGTGTAAAATCTATTCAGTGCTCACACTCTATTTTGTTGTGATTCAGCTTGGTTCAAGGGTTCAAATGCTTCACTTAATTCAAATGCAGAAAACACTTCCAAAACTGATGAAAAAGTCAGTAGTCACGGTTGTGTCCAGTTTTATTGTTCTGGATTCAAACGGACGGCGAGTAAACGCTCTGTCTAGTTCAGTTCTGTAGCTCGATTTCATTCCACTTTAGCATGTTTGTTTTCCCATAACCAATAATTTTCTGGACAAGGACACTGAAATACCAATTTATCCATAGCCTGCTCTTCCTAACTGAGATGAAAGCAACAGGTGAATCTGTTCTTCAGTTCTTCAGCCAGAATGAGCTGTAGGTCTGTTTTGGGTTTATGTCAGCCCACTTCCACTCCTGGTCCTATTAATAACAGCAGCAGGAGGAACGTGTCCCATCTGAGGCAAATGAACTCACTCAGTAGAGTGCACTGTCATGCAAGTTCAAGCAGTTCACCTTTAACCTAGTTTCTACAGAGACACACAGCATTACCTACATGTGCTAGGGCTGGGTAAAAAATATCGATATCTCCATATTAATCGATTCTCATTTTTACGGAACGATATCGATTCTTAAATCCCAAGAATTGATTAGTCTAGCCTGTTTTCATTAACTTTACAATCCGTATCCTGTCTCATGTAATCGCTCAATCAGTGTTTCAGCCGCGCAAAGACGTCAATATAACGTCTTGTAAACAATGTCACGTAACGTCACATTTACCTCAGAAAAACATATTTGGTGACCATAAACTTATTAGTCAGCTGAAAAATAAACTGCAGAGAGGGGCATGTTGCTAAATATATGCACCATATAACATCTTCCTTATAATTTTTACTGTTCTTCATTGTTCAATTTGTTTCAATAAATCCATCAAGTTTTATGACCGCCACCATTTAAATGTTTATAATATATAATCTTATCATCAGTCTGCTTGCTGCATCTACATAATCTTTACAGATTAATGCAGTAAAATCATATCAAAATGCAAATGATTGATGATGATAAGCTCCATTCAAGTGCATTTGTGATATATTGTACAGTTCTAGTTTGGATCAACATGAGGTTGAGTAAATAGTGACAGAATCTTTATTTAATGTAGCTAGTACCAACTGACTCTCATGTATATTTTACAGCATTAGTCGAGATTTTTTTTCCCTTGAGAAAATTTGGCATGTAGCCTACTGTACCTGATATATATATCCAAAATAATCGATATTGAATCGGTAATCGAATCGCAAGCTTGAGAATGAGAATCCAATCGAATTGTGAAATTTGTGTCAAAACCCAGCCCTACTACATGCATCTATTCATAAACAATATTATATTTGTGTTAACAATAATCAAGAGTCTCTAATATGCTCGCTTTTGGAACATTGGTTATGAATTAAAGTGCAAATGATGCTTAATCCTTATTTAAAGTTTACTCAAAAATGCTATTTATTTGTCTTTATTTGCTTACTTTCCAAAGCTGTATGCCTAAATTATTTTTAAAATAGGAGGATTTGTGAAATTGTGCAAAAAATTTACACAGGACAAGCAAGGAAAATGATTGATGATGATAAGCTCCATTCAAGTGCATTTGTGATATATTGTACAGTTCTAGTTTGGATCAACATGAGGTTGAGTAAATAGTGACAGAATCTTTATTTCTGTGTGAACTATCCTTTAATTGCTTCATCGAAGAGTCAGTTATTCTGAACATGTTTGCTTGGAGGAAAATAATCTGCATTGATAGAGTGATGAATTATGAATAGCTTTATGAGAGGAAGGGCAGAGAGAGAGAGAAAGCGAGTTTATGGATGCTGTCTCTCGCCGCACAGTACAACGCAACAAATAAAATCAAAATCAAGTCAGACCTGACATCTCTCTAACTTCATCTTGTCTGCATGTTCGCTCCACAAAACCCCAAGAGATGATATAATAACTCTCAGTGTGCTGCTGCGTTTTGTACTTGTGATACCAAATAAGTAAATGAAAAACAGTGACACTGCATCTATTTGATAATGCTGTGAAAAAACAAAGCTTCTCTGCTCGACAACATCCTGTCAACAACTCGGAGTGTTTTATGGAAACGCCAAGACTGAGGGCAAAACAGAATAATGGATGCATCGACTTGTCAATCATAAAAGATGTACTGTTTCACAATGACCATCAATTATTCAGTCAAAGCAGATCGCTTACCTTCTTCAGGAAGCGCACACCGTAAGTAAATATGTACAGGTAAAACGTGAACCTCCACCTGTGAAGAAAGCACAGAGAACAGGACAATCAGAAACATTTCATTTTGCATTATTACTGCACCAAAAGGTAACTTTAATGCAGAAGAATCAACGAGAAAAGCTTTGTGGCCTCGTTTCATCCAGAGATGGGGGAGGTTGAACACAGCGATCAGGTTAACCCCACTCTTCACGCTCAAGTACTTCAAAATTGATTAGGAATTCAACGTGCAAGATGTCCTGTTTCTTATGTCCTGCTGTTACCGTGACAACATTTCATAGCACATCCTTCATAACAAAGGCGAAACTGAAGACAGGACGCTGGCCTGGGCTGATAGAACATCTCATTCTGTCTGTTCCCTCCAAAATTACCCCTTAAATGAGTGCAATGACAGGCAGCGTTTAATGTATACTAGGCTTGCCGCGATAGACGGTGCTGACGGTGATACCGGTGTTAAGCCGCAACACCGGTTATGTCACTTGCCCACCGCGGCACCGACCCCCACCGTCGTTTAGATTTTTAAAAAAGTAATAAAAATCATTTAGTTCAGTAAAAGAACAGACACTACAATTAAAAACTGAACGCGGCTGCTCAATGCAGCGTGCCGAACGACAGTCACATCACAGATCAGATTTCATTTCTCCAGTGAGGAGAGCGAGTCGAGCCGACTGACAAGAAGAGTGAGGTGAGGTGAGACCGAGAAGACGATCACGGATGATTTAGTTTCGAAACGAAATGCAAAAGCGCATAAAATGCGCACAGCACTTTTAAGCTATTTAAAAGCGAAGGAAAGCGAGGAACGCCCCCGCCCCTGCGGTGATACCAGTATTGTCACACGTCGATTAACCGGTGGGAAAATGTCCTCACCGTCACAACCCTAATGCATACAGTAACAAACATAGACTACCTTTCAAATTTGCAGTCAGCAAGATTTATTTTAAAGAAATTATGTTTTATTCTGCAAGGATGCATTAAAAAGATCAAACGTATCAGCAAAGACATTTATAGTGCTACAAAAGATTTATATTTAAAATAAATGCTGTTCTTCTGAGAAAAATAAAATACATTTTTGCCTTTTTTTTTTGAGAATCAAAATGTCAAATTTTTCAGCAAACTTTAGAGCATAAATTCTGTCAATGTGAAACAAAAACTAGTTAGGAAACACTTTTTGTGTGCAAATAAATGTGGTGTTACTATTATTATTATTAATAATATTTAAAACAGTTAAGTAAATTTTTTTCAGGATTCTTTGATGAATAGAAAGATCCAAAGATCAGCATTTATGTGAAATAAAAAGCTTTTGTAACATTATACACTATACCATTCAAAAGCTTGGAGTCAGTATAATTTTTTTTCTATAATAAATTATAGAAATTAATACTTTTATTTAGCAAGGATGCTTTAAATTGATCAAAAGTGATGATAAAGACATTTATAATGTTACAAAAGATTTCTATTTCAGATAAATGCTGTTCTTCTGAACTTTCTATTCATCAAAGAAACCTGAACAAATTCTACTCGGCTGTTTTCAACATAATAATAATAATAATAATAATAATAATAAATGGTTTTTGAGCAGGAAATCAGCATATTAGAATGATTTCTGAAGAATCATGTGACACTGCCTGACATTCAGCTTTGAAATCACAGGAATAAATTAAATTTTAAAATATATTCAAATAGAAAGCAGTTATTTTAAATAGTAAAAATATTTCACAATATTAATGTTTTTACTGTATTTTAAATCAAATAAATGCAGACTTGGTAAGCAGAAGAGAATTCGTTTAAAAACATTAAAAATCTTACTGTTAAAAACTTTTGACTGGTAGTGTATGTTAGTTAGGGGTGGAACGGTTCAACTTACTCACGGTTCGGTTTGCATCACGGTTTTAGGGTCACGGTTTTGGTACGATGTGCTATGTTCAGGCAAAAACTATACTGTCAAATAAAAATAAAGAAAATAAGAATAATCTAGCTAACTACAAGCAACAGCACAAATGAATACAACAGAGTAAAGATACAAATAAAATAAACAGTGATTTTCAGGGTTTTTTAGGTAGGTCTAACATTAGTTTTTAGGTACAGAAATTGAATAAAGTAATGAAATGTAAAACAGCATTGCATATTTGACTGTATAAATTAAAGATTAATCTTTATTAAAGTTATAAAAGTGATTCAATCAAGAGCAGTGAGTGTTTGATTAATAGTGCTGTCACTTTAAGAGAATGCACTGATACAGTA